TCGTCAAATGTATTGGAAAGTACTCGCCAGTTGAAGCTCTTTCATCCTATATATGATTGTGCTGTACATAGTATGAAAAGTCCAATGGGCCAAATTACGGTCTTATGCGCCCCTGTCCTTTTAAAATCAATAAATATCTCATAAAATGAATGCTTAAAAAAATAACAACTTTCCACATATAAATAGAAGTTCATTCTGTTTGTTGTGCTAACCATGCTTCAATAACATTCTTAAAGGCATAATTTTGGGTAATACCAGTTACTACGGTTCGACAAATAGGACAGACATTAACTGTTGTTAAATAATCATTGATAGCTTGCATTTCGAACATATGTCCACAAGGTGCTGTTGTTGCAGGATTATCCATAATATCGAGTGTAATTGGACAAGTGAACAAATCTTTACTGAGAACAGATCGTGATGATTTGTCAGCTGATTTTATAGCAGTTATTTGTGTTGGTAGCGATTCAAGATCAGACATACCTAAAATTTCTTCATTGGCTATTGTTTGTTGTGCTTTTTGAAGCATTGCAGATACACTCTGGAATTGTGGAGGATTCATTACCGAACGTAGTCGTCGTGTTAATTTCTTGTACTGTTGTTCTAGAAATTCTCGAACACCTGATTTATCCAAATGAATGAATGATGCGGTTTGCACAGTAGTTGTTTCTGTAGTGGCTTTCTGTCCACATTCAATAGCATAATCAAGTTCCGTAATACCATTCGATGCTTGTTGGCTTGCAATTCGTGCATATTCACCAAATCCACGTAATGCTCCAGTAACAAATGGATCATCACAATGTGATACTAAGTAATCAATGATGATTGGTCGAGTAATGTTTATTGTTACTTTCTCTGTTGGTAATGTAGCACCTTGACATGTGGCTTTGGCTATAGCTGTTGTTTGATTTATTAAATCTGTTGATCCCCAAAGCACACATGGAATTGTTGTGAGTCGATCACGAATTGTATAGACATGTGCATTAATTTGATCAAATGAATAAGAATCACCACCAAGTTCTTTCAATTGATCACGTAGAATATCAACATCTTTTCGAGTAGAAGTATTGTACAGTTCAATTGCACCATCAGGAAAGGTGGGATACTCTCGTTTAGATAAATATTGTGGTCGAACTACAGAGCCACGTTTTTGAAGATTCATTCTATACCATCCTTCAACTTCGTGTGGATCTGTGATAAATGTTGACCGTTCAATGACTTGACCAGTACGAGCATTGACTAGATCGAAATCTTTATTCACAAAGACACACCAAGCCATTGGTTCATCTGTATCAATAAATGGTGAAACATTTTCATAAACTTGTTTCTCATAAGTAATCGAACCATCAGTCAATTGAAGTAAAAATCCTTTCAAAATGTGAACAGTAAGAATTTGATGAATTGATTGTAAAGTTTCAGATGTAAGATCAATTTTTGGAGCAACTTGACGTAAAATTTTCATCCAAAATGTTGATCGATTTTCATCTTGATCGAGATCAGAAAGATATTTATTCGATACGACTAAACTTGATAAAGCTTGTGTGATAAAATCAGGAAATGTTCGACCCGATGCATCCATTACCCAAGCCAACCGAATAGCTGCTAATGGTTGTAATGTCCATACGCTATCTCTTTGAATTTGTTGTGAATATTGATATTGTTGAAGACAAAGTGGTAATTGACGTAGAATAGACATTATATCGACAGTACCATCCGGTTTTCGCCATATAAGAATACGTAAATCTTCAGGAATTGATATTGATCGATCATCAATTTTTGAAATTGATAAAATATCAAGAATCAATGATAAAAGATCGGAATCTTCTGGTGAATATAGAGTTTTCAATTGTTGTAACGCTTCAGATAATACTTCACTTGTACAAGTCAAACTAGCGATTCGAACATTTAAATAACCGATTGGTTGCCCATATTTTCGTTCATTTTCTTCTATAATCAATGCTCTTTCACTAAAACTCATTGCATCATCCCAAAATTTTGTTAATTCTGCTTTTGCTTTCGGATCATTAGCTAAATTCTTGATTAGTTTTTGTTGTTCATGTGCAAAATTGTTCATTATTTTGCTTAAATAACCATACAATTGTTGACAAGCATTACTTGTTTCTAAATGAGCTTGGGATATCTTAATCAGTGGTGTTACTAATGACATGAGATTTCGAAAATCATCACCTCGAATACATCGTTCAAAATTGAGTCTCGCTGTTTCTTCGAGATATCGAAAAAGGCCAAGAATTTTTTTTGTAAAAATTTGCAATTGAATTTCGCCTTGAGCTAAACAATTGTTGAACACTTGCATCATTTGAGTCGGTGCAAGAAGGTTCGATGGAATCGCATAACTTCCAATAGTAACAAATCCAGGTAGACGAGCAAAAAAATGATGCTCACGTAAAAAGCCTTCAATGATACTGTCAAGTTGTGGATATTTTTCCGAAGCAATACCAATATAAGGAACATTAGGATGGACACTTGATGCTATTGCTTTTGCATGTTTCTCTTCAACACCTAAGGGAGACCATGGCGGTGCAACAAAGAAAACAGTATGACATTGTTCTTGAAAAGTCAATTGAGAAATATTGTCAGTAAAGGCACCGTCAGAAACGATGATTGCATCATAAGGTGTAGGAAATTGTCTTGTTCTTTGAAATGATGGACAGAAAGCGGTACCACCACCATTAGGTGGATAATTTCCTTTTGAAAATTCATCTAAAGTAAGTAATCGACCACCGACTGCAGTATGTATTCTTTCTTGATGACCATCACCAAACAAGGATATGTGTACTTGAATACCTTGATTTTGTAATTTGGTACACAGACCAATGATGGTCTGAACTAATGGATTAAAACCGGATACGTTCATCGATCCACTCAAATCAAAATGAATAATTAATGATCGTTTTTCCATTTGAACATCAAATTTCATTAAATCGTCCAATGTTAAAATTGTCATAACTGGATGAAATAAAATTAACTGTTTGACCATTGTCACAATTTTATCCAATGGAATGGTCATTTTTTGAGATAACAGTTGAAGCATTCGATGATGAACTCGTTCTACATATGTCGAACGTTGATCCACAGGTCGATTAGTACAGATTTCATCGAAATTGGTTAGAATTTCTAGAAATTGCCCATGACTACATTTGGTAATATCAAGTTCAGATAGGAGAAGAACTGGTACAAATGAATTGTCATCTGCTGCTTTTCGTGCTTCTGCAGCTAGAATCTGTTTTGCTCGACGTGACATTTTGCGTTGCTTGAAATTATAAATTTTGTTCTGCTTTTATAAGCAGTAGTCATCGCCAAGAGCTGATGACATGTTTTGCAACATAAAGCAAGTTAAATTGCGCAACTACATCGCTGGTTGACAAATAAAGTCATCAACGATAATGTATATTTTTCTTTTTCGTTCCTCTCGGCTTTTGGCTATAATACTTACTGACGGTTTAGTCCATTTTCGCCGAAAGTGAATTTCGCCGAAGAAAATTTTCCTGTTCTTTTTCATCGAATATTATATATATCGGCGAAATTCACTTTCGGCGAAAATGGAAAATACCCTTATTGACAATATTATTAAAAAAACGCCTGATAATAGTGTGTCAAACAAGATATTGCAATTGTTTGCCGTTTTTTTTATTCATAGGTCGATCGTGTAAACACAAGTTTTACTTACTCATACATGACCGCGCGCACTCTATTTAATGAACTTTTTTCAATAACTATCACAAAGTATAAAATTAGACACGGTATATTTCGAAAACATGCAATTTTCATGCTGATGATGCAGCAAAGTAAAGTAGGTATTTTGACTGTCTACCTGCATTTTACTTGGGTGTTGTATCGAAATTTTGATCTTGGTTTGGAAATGGAACACTTGATCCCTGTTGACAAAATAGTTGCAATGAGAATTCAACTTATCACCCAATTTTCAACCAAAGCAACTCTTACTATTGTTCTTGTAAAAGTGGTTATTATGGAATAAATTGTATCATGTACATATCTCTTCGTGAGACTTGTTGCTAAGCAAACATACTCTGCCAATCTGATGATTCTGATCTACAAGCGAAAACGAACAAACCCTCTTGTCTTTCTCCATTAGATCGTTTCAGATCATGCTGCAATTTGAAATACGATGATTGTGATTCGAATTCTTGTTTGAACATTAGAACTTGTCTTCCTAATTTTAATCCAAGTAGCGCATATATCTATTTATACAAATGTTCAGAGCATTTCTATGAATCTCAATGTTAATATAAGAAGGCATCTGTTCATATTAATTTGAACCTAACAAAGATATTGTTTATTCGTGTAGCTGTTGTTCAACTTTACATCTATGACACTTCCTCTTTTCTTCTTCCCATGGAGTATCAGTAAATTTATAATAGCTTGCCATATTCAACTAGGTACTACCATTCTTATACGTATACACCTTCACTTGGAATTTTTAAAATTCATCAAGATTTATCACATCTACAAGATTTCCTCGTGTATTTTTTGTATCAATCAAAGATTAATATCACATCATTTCCACAGCATTTTCAGCATGCTTCTTCGCTACTATCCAAATGCGAACTTTTCCATCAATGATAATATTTACATGAAATAGATTTTACCTTAAGGAATCGATAAATCTGTTGTACCAGTATTCAAATATCACCATAGCTGTTGAAATGACAACTAAGCTTTATGTTTTTATGATGAAAAGTATTTCTGTATCTGCCAACAAAACCGTTATCACACTGAATGCTTCATCAACAATATTAAACATGACCATTGTCCATTTGTAAGAACATGTCTTCAAGGTAATCTAGGAGATCCGAATAATTTCATTAGCCTTAGTCCTTCTTATCATCAAAGATATCAATGTGAATTTTGTTTGCAAGCATCCGATTTTACTTTCAATTCATTTCTTTTCAATCACTCAAAAGAAATGAAAATCATTACATATGTTTCTACAGTTTCTCTTTTCTTTATCATTGGATTCTATAATAAATTCTGTTCATTTATCATATTTAAATAGCCAACACCTCGTAAGTTTGACGTTGGAAATTATTTATTGATTGTGAGGGTGAGGGATGTGGGTGTAGTTATTTCTTGTGCCAATGTTTACACCCACACCCCACCCACACCCCACCCACACCCACACCCCACCCACACCCACACCCACACCCACACCCACACCCACACCCACACCC